TGAATCCCATTACGTGTAAAATAATAAAGATGGGAAAGGGAGAAAGGAGAGCAGGAGGCATCTACACCATAATGAGACGGCAACTGCAGGAGCCGAAGAGACAAATATATTTGGAAGTGGATATAATTCCAATACTCACACCAGAGGCACACATAAACGAGATAACATCGACAGCATATGGGACGCTGGCAAATATAAGAATATCATTTAGAGACCTAAATCGGGACTCCTTCAAGGCAATCTACACAACATTTGTTAGACTAATACTGGAATACACAGCACCGGTCTCTAATCCGCACCTTATGAGCCAAAATTAAAAAAGTATAAAGGTTTGCAACTAGATTCGTGCGAGAGCTAAGAGGGTTAACCTGTGAGATCCAGTTAAAGGAATTAGACCTCACAGGTTTTGTGCAGAGATGAAACAGATGAGACATGATTGCAACATACAGGATACAGAGGGGGGCAATTGAAAAGGTTGATAATAGCAGCTTCTTTAAAGTGAGAGAAACTAGGGCAGGACTCAAAAGGAAGCTGGAGACGCAAATGAATTGAGAAAATATAAGGAAATACTCCTATCCTGTCCGGGCTGTCAACAAGTGAAAGGTATTGGAAAGTGTTAAAGTCACCTCCATCAACAACTATAAGACCAGATTCGGTAAAGAATTTGAACGTGAGAATAGTTAAGTTGTAACGCAACAAGTGCAACAAGGTTGGTAGGCGGGGCATGAAGAGCTAGACCTCACTCCCCCGTCGTCACTGACACGTAAATAGCAACTGCAGCAACATCAACACCACCAACAACAGTAGTAGTAGTAGCAGCAGCAGCAGCAACAGCACCAGCAACAATAGCACCAGCAACAATAGCACCAGCAACAACAACAGCAGCAGCAGGAGCAATGTAACACCATTATACATATAAACTACAAAATAAAAACATTAATAATCATTTGTAACACCACCATATAGCCCCGGAACCAAAGGTATCCAACAAGGAAATGCTACCCCAGGATTAATTACGCTGCCACCATCTGCCTTATCCATTTACTGTATCAAGCAACGAGGCAAGAAACATTGCTTGACTTGGAGAGTACTCTTTCTTTAACTGTCAATATTTATGGGACGATTGTTAGCCAATTATATCAGAAGCTACGGGGATTCAACAATTGATACAGATGGGAAGTTTAACATGAGTTTATTGAGAACAAATTAGGCTATTCACCACTATAAAATCCTTCTTTAACACTGGCAATTGTTACGGGATCCAGACATGGAAAACGTATAAAAAATCACACACATTACCTTAATTAAGCCCACTCTCTGCCTCTCAGTCAGGTGCATTCACTCTGTCTCCTGAGGCTTGCCTGATGACCTGCAGCCTCACTGACCTGCAGCCTCACACTCTCCGATACTCCAGCACTCTCTCTCTCGTAACTATCACAAAGGGGTATATATACAACTGAATCAGAGAGGGGGGCGTTTTACACTGTTGTGGGAAAGTCTGGTGTGGACCTGTTCCCAGCTGATTCAGCCAACTCGGAAAAAGTGTTTTGCACACCTAAATGGTTGGTCAGCACATTAGGGCGTCAGTTTCCCATGATGTACAAAAAAGCAATCAAGCTGCACCATTAAGTTGTTTGTCAAGACCATCAGGATTATTCATAAACAGGAGAAAGCTGACTAGGGGAGAGCCAGATGATATTTCAGTTAACTCTAGCTGAATCTGAGGTCACAGGCTGATCTTACCAGGACGTTCCCATGGTGAGTCATGGGTGCACTCTCCCGGCGTTACAGCAGCAACAACAGCAAAAACAGCAGCACCATTAACAACAGCACCAGCAGCAGCAGCAACAGCAACAACAACAGCACCAGCAGCGGCAACAACAACAACAACAGCAGCAGCATCATCAGCGACGGCGGTGGTGGCAGGGGGAGGAGGAGGGGGAGGAGGAGTGTCCAGGAGGCGGCCTCCTCCATCTCCCGCTCAACCTGACTATTAACATGACTGCATAAAAACGTGGCATAAACAGTAGTTCCTTGTCCTATTATGTGTATCACCATGTATGCAAGGGGGCGGGGCCCCACTGACTGAACACCCACTGTATGCAGGGGGGCGGGGCCCCACTGACTGAACACCCACTGTATGCAGGGGGGCGGGGCCCCACTGACTGAACACCCACTGTATGCAGGGGGGCGGGGCCCCACTGACTGAACACCCACTGTATGCAGGGGGCGGGGCCCCACTGACTGAACACCCACTGCTCGACAACCTCCGAAAAGCCTCACAAATTAATATTGAAGACAATAACAAATAAAGAGCCAGATAATGTAAGACAGATGTTGGAAGGACAGAGGATGAGACGCCTCTAGGATGCTCAGTTCACGCCTGGTCTGACTTGAGCCACAATAGGCTATCTTTCTTTCTCTTCTGCTGTCTTTTGTCTCATATCTTTTTCTTCGTCATTAAACCTTCTGCAGTTTTATAGATTTCTATTAAAATCCTAAAGTATACGTCTTACCTTCCGGCCTTTCCCCTCACATTCTTACTTTATATACTGACCCCTCTTTGCCACTCTTTCCTCACACGAGATGATAATGGTCCAGGACGGAGCGAAGCCTCGTCACTTGCTGGATTTTGAGATGTGTGGGTTGGGCGCCTGGCTCTAGAAGCTGGCGCCCGCAGCTTTATCATGCATGAGTTCGTCGTGCAGCTGAGGGAGTCGGGTAGACAAACGTGTTGAGGAAGGTGAGGTATTACAGACGTGAGGGAGTACGTGACGGATCAAAGATCTAGCGGCAGAGGCCTGGAAGGGAACTTCATAAGCAAGATATTGACTATAAGCAAGTGCGAGAACGGGCTAAGGGAAGACAGCAAATGAGACGGTGGAATTTATTGTTGGTAAATGTGCCGAGGCAACGGAGCAGTTCACAGCACTCAAGATGGACGCGGAGGAGGAATCAACTAAACCCCAGCCTTACCAGGCGATACAGGCAAGCTAAAGAAAGGACTAAAAAAAAGCTTTGGCCGCATTGCCAACTGGACCATCCGGCACGGAACGCCAACCCTGCAAGAAGCGAGGCTGTCACTGTACCGATCAGCACAAATGGATTAGCCTTTTATGTCAGCATTGTAGAAAGGTGCCCAGCAGCGCACGCCAGCGTGTTCAGGTGCCTGTGCGCCAGTGTAGCGCCCCAGTCGCTATTATGGCACACACCGCCTTATATATAAAACCATTCCCGGTGGGTGTAAAAAGTGATCACTAACTCCTGCCTCGCTGGACTGTGCTCCTTGTGTAGCGGATGGCGTGCGGGCGCCCCGGACCCCAGGCGGTGTTGCTCCACCCCTGGACGCCAGGCTTCCCTCACGGTGTGTACTGGAGGCTAGGCTCCCCTCACGGTGTGTACTGGAGGCCAGGCTTCCCTCACGGTGTGTACTGGAGGCCAGGCTCCCCTCACGGTGTGTACTGGAGGCCAGGCTTCCCTCACGGTGTGTACTGTAGGCTAGGCTCCCCTCACGGTGTGTACTGGAGGCCAGGCTTCCCTCACGGTGTGTACTGGAGGCCAGGCTCCCCTCACGGTGTGTACTGGAGGCCAGGCTCCCCTCACGGTGTGTACTGGAGGCCAGGCTCCCCTCACGGTGTGTACTAGAGGCCAGGCTTCCCTCACGGTGTGTACTGGAGGCTAGGCTCCCCTCACGGTGTGTACTGGAGGCCAGGCTTCCCTCACGGTGTGTACTGGAGGCCAGGCTCCCCTCACGGTGTGTACTGGAGGCCAGGCTTCCCTCACGGTGTGTACTGGAGGCTAGGCTCCCCTCACGGTGTGTACTGGAGGCCAGGCTTCCCTCACGGTGTGTACTGGAGGCCAGGCTCCAAAACAGATTGGAGCTTTGGTTTACTGAAAATTATCAAGGACACATTATCAAAGGTACATTGAGAAAGTCCTCAGAAGCCAAAAGGATTCGAACCCACTCGGTACTCCCAATATAGCGCCCAAGACCACTAGACCACGACACTAAAAGCATTGCAACCTGAGATTACACTGAATCCTCTAAGGGACCCGAGACGCCCGACCGAAGCCCAATCAGTAGTTCACCTCCAACGCTGCTCGACAACCACACAATGATATCATATTCACGGGATGTGGGACACGTCATGATAATGATGCAAAGGATATCATGCAAAGGATAATACGAAGCGGTGACTAGTATTTTTGTCTATACCGGAGACATGAATGAGAAATAGCAGCGGTACAAGGACTGTGCCCTGGTGTACAGTTTCATTGCACCTGGATTTGATCTTATTTGAGTGACCGTCAATCTCTGCATTCTGTTTAACAGAAAGTTGAAAATCCAACGCCCCACTTTACCCGTTATTCTTTTTTTATCTCATTTTATGGGCTATCACTTATGGTCACATTTGTCGAATGCCTTTGCAAAGTCTGTGTATACAACATCTGCATTTTACTTTTCTTCTAAGATTTCTGTGATTTTGTCATAGTGGTTGGGTAACTGTGACAAACAGGATCTTCCCGCTCTAAATCCATGTTGTCCTGAGTTGTGTAGTTCATTATTTTCCATAAAATTAGAAATTTGATTCCTAATCACTCTTTCAAAAACTTTTATAACTCCATGATGTTGATTAGTGTGCTAAACATAGCCTCATACTGGCTTCTTAGAATTTTACTAATTTCTCTGTTGTCCTTCGTACGTACCTTCAGTTGTAACTAACGGCCCAATACTGGCGGAGGTTTTTGATTTTGATTAACATATGTGAAAAAAATATGTTGGATTTCTCTTTCTCGCAGTGTGGTGCGTGGTGAGGTGGTGGACGGGTGCCAGTGTGGTGCGTGGTGAGGTGGTGGACGGGTGACAGTGTGGTGCGTGGTGAGGTGGTGGACGGGTGACAGTGTGGTGCGTGGTGAGGTGGTGGACGGGTGACAGTGTGGTGCGTGGTGAGGTGGTGGACGGGTGACAGTGTGGTGTGTAGTGGCGGACGGCCGACAGTGTGGTGCGTGGTGTGGTGGTGGACGGACCTATAGTTAATAACTCCGTGGACGCTCTTGCACGCGGTGATCGGCCAGAATTGTTGCTGTATACTGTTGGGATATACCGTTGCTGTATACCGTTGGTATATACTGTTGCTGAATACATTTAGTACATACTAACGCTGCCATCCACTGCTCACCACGTGGTTAGTTAACAAGGTCAGTGTTGATAGGGTTGAGTAGCCTAGTTATGCCCCCTCCTCCTTCCTCCCATTCACACTAAATACTACCACCATTACCATGGTAATTGTAACTGTCTCAGTGTAACAACCCAGCAGCTGAAGCACTTGAAACACAAAAGAATTATGACCTAATCATCATTGTAAAGTAAAATATATTCTAAACTTGGCAGTTGTCCACAGCGACGAACCACTGCTCACCAAACCTAAGGAAACCTATGATCAGAATATTAATACTTTGCCTACAGGTATACTTCGTATACTGTTTCAGAGATTGTATATATTTCACAGGGGTTGTGGCAAGTCGTAGCTCTCTCACACTGAGTATGATGTTGTATTTTTTGACTGTTACTGTATGATCATACTGAACCATGGGAGATTTACTGTTTGAAAGTTATTGAGCATAACTGAAATTAGCACAAAAAAATAACATATACAGCGTTTAGGAGACTGTCGTATGTTGTATTGCAAACTTGAAGGCTAGCAAACATAAGAGCAGCAATAATAATGAAATTTATATTATGCAAATATAGCAATGCACACAGATGAACTTGAAAGAGTTACCAGTTATTTCACCCACATAGTGGTTGATGATACTGTACCTGTAATCTGTCATCCTGTTCTCACAATTAATGCTCAACAGTTTTGACGGTATCGGCCATAGTATTTTATAAGTATATATAAGAATTATGCAGCGCCCTCACTAGGCTTGCTGGCCATGCTAGGCGGGTCCTGCTAGAATTCACTGCTCACCGCTGAACAACGAGTTATGTACCCTCTTTTCTAGGTGTACATGCACTGAGAGCTTACTTTAGTCTTGGACTATGTTCAAGATTAAAGTAAATGTTCAGGATATTTTATTAACATTCATCAATTGATATAAAACGTACGCGATTGGTCAGTTGTCCAGCTGAGCCGGCAACGTGACTGGCCAAGCGAAAAGATGAACAATGTTACCTTCTCTGTAATTGGTCAAACGAAAAGTAATAGTGACATCAATGGTGAAGCAGGTGAACCAGAATCTAACCCCAGGTAACTCTGCACGATCACCTTGGTGAGCCCAGCCTCGGGATCTACTAGTAGATAATACTTGAGAACCTTCGTAAGATAGCCATGTAAGAAGAAATACATGACGCTTAGTGAATCTAAGTGCAGGTTCGTCAGTAGATGGGTAAATGTTTGTTGAATCCTGGTGCAGGCCTCTAGCATCCACGGGTAGTGCAAGTCTCTAGCATCCACGGGTAGTGCAGGCCTCTAGCATCCACGGGTAGTGCAGCCCTCTAGCATCCACGGGTAGTGCAAGTCTCTAGCATCCACGGGTAGTGCAGGCCTCTAGCATCCACGGGTAGTGCAGCCCTCTAGCATCCACGGGTAGTGCAGGCCTCTAGCATCCACGGGTAGTGCAGCCCTCTAGCATCCACGGGTAGTGCAAGTCTCTAGCATCCACGGGTAGTGCAGCCCTCTAGCATCCACGGGTAGTGCAAGTCTCTAGCATCCACGGGTAGTGCAGGCCTCTAGCATCCACGGGTAGTGCAGGCCTCTAGCATCCACGGGTAGTGCAGCCCTCTAGCATCCAACGGTAGTGCAAGTCTCTAGCATCCACGGGTAGTGCAAGTCTCTAGCATCCACGGGTAGTGCAAGTCTCTAGCATCCACGGGTAGTGCAGCCCTCTAGCATCCACGGGTAGTGCAAGTCTCTAGCATCCACGGGTAGTGCAGGCCTCTAGCAGCCACGGGTAGTGGCCACACAGTGTTTACACTTAGCTTAAGTTAGGTGAAACGAAGTGGTCACCTCTTGACCGCTCTGACGCTGTACCTGCTGTTGTTGTTTCAGATTTAGCTACTCAGAACGAAGTGTCCATGTAGCACGGGCTATGGTGAGCCCGTACAAAGCTGTACGGGCTCAAAGTGAGCTGTACCTGCGTGTAATGTTTCCTTTATACTTTATCAGCGAGTGACTTAGTTCATACAGTGCAGCCACTTGTACCTTGGAACCACTTATACACACACCTTAATCTCTAACTACGCTGCCACCACCCTGTTTTGTTTTGGTTAAGGAACCATCACACCTGAGGAATTAATTATTTGTATTATTTACTGCGGCAGTAGCCCGAGGGACATGCTGTTGCAGTCGCTGAAATTAAGAGAGCTGTGAGAGTACTTACCAATCAGGGAATAGTCATCAAGTTTCTGTGACCATATTGAATACTTCATACCCAAGACTCTACTACAAATTAGAGGTATTGTCAAGCAACAAGGTAACTGAGGAAAGGAGGATAGAAGCACAAACCAGTGAATCTGTACGATGGTACAACATGGTTGCAGCTGGCAACCCCAATCATTATGGCCGAAGAGGAGGACGCGGGAGAGAATCAGTAATAGCGAGAATCCGTCTTGGATACAAATATCCATGGAGATATGGAAAGGAAACAACAGTTGAGCAGCGAAGTTGCAGAATCTGTGATGAGAGTGACGGACACCGCCTTGACCACTATCTACGTGAATGTGAACACCTGAGAGACATTAGAAGTATGTGTAGAACAATAAACCCCACATTGTTTGAGTTTGGAAAACACTATTTGTCAAATATTGATACTGTTCCTAAAAGATTCCCCCATTTTGCACCCGCAAGATAACGTAAGCTTTTAAGGGTAGACAGATGTTAATCTTCTTGTTTGAGGAGCTGTTCACTTGAGACAGTTAAGCAAGTCCCAGCTGTGTCTGGGTACAAGTGACAGGATGAACAACCCAGCGGATTTTCTTCCAATTGGGGAGTGTTGTACATGCTGCTATGGCGATATGTCCCCTCACAAGATGAGTGGCGCTGCCCAATAAACTCTCCCCTTGGGGCAAAATTTAAAAATTAAAAAAAAATGTTGTTGCTGTAGCAGGTGTTCTGACTTCAGTGGTGGCTAACACCTGCCCGTGGCCCCAGCTTTCCCAAGGCACGTGGCGAGAAGTAAAGAGGTTCTCACCTGGTGCCGGGGCACTCGTGCGTGTGCTCGCAGCCTCCGTCATACTGAGGCAATAATAATATACAACTCTGGGAAGGTGATTTGACAATTAAATCACGCAATGAAACAAAGGGGATGGTGTAGAGTGACAAACAGCATACTTAGCGGACCACATAAGATTGCATTTAATGCAGGCGATGAGTCACAATAACGTGGCTAAAGTATGTTGACCAGACCACACACTAGAACGTGAAGGGACGACGACGTTTTGGTCCGTCCTGGACCATTCTCATGTCGATTGATTGCATTTAATACTTAAATGTCTCTGTAGTTCATTTACATATATTTATTAAACATATTAAGATATCCTATCCTAAATGCCCTAACAAATGCAAACTAGTGTAATGACATCAAATGCAAGAAAATTAAGAATACAATAATTATGCTACTTTTTTTATTTAATTTCTGTGTGTTGACAGGCAGACAGGAAGGTTGTTACTCAGTAGACAGAATATTGAAGTTCTTGCGAGGCAGGATCATGTATAACATTTGGGGTTTACGGCTCATGTTCTGTGATGATATGAAAAATTGGTTTACTGAAAATTACATAAAATATATATAAACTATATATACGTGTAGCATTTTCCCTTGTAAATTGATGTAAATGTGATCTTTATATTGCATGTTAATTAATAAAGAAAAACAAACAACTTTTAGCCAGCTGCTCCCCCCCACCTCCCCCTGTTCTCTATTTGGCCAATCGACGGTTCCATTATAGGCACTTGGCCTACAAACCAATTACAGAGCATGACCTCTAGATAGCCCCCCGGAGATGGGAGTTGTTCCTGGTCTCCATAGACCTGTAACTATTACCCATCTACCCCTCTCTGGGCATGGAGAAGCCTCGTCTTGTTCCTGGTCATCTGGATTCCTCTCTTCGCAGGTCCATTATAAATCTTCGATTTACATTTATATATATATATATATAAATAAATACATAACATTTTTAATTGGTTTAGAGCCTTAATAGCCCATCCTGGTGCTGCCCACCAACAAAAGGAACACAAACCATAATACTTGAGAACTCTACACCTTCAAGAGCACATTGCTGTTATGTAGGTATGGCGGGCTGGTTACATCTTGCATCTAAGTTATTGGGAGCGCTTAGAAATGATAAATCTGTATTCTCTAGAGTGTAGGCGAGAGATACATGGTAATTTACACTTGGAAAATATTATAGAGGGACTGGTTCCAAACCTGCACACGGAAATAACACCACATGAGACCAGGAGGCACGGCAGGATGTGCAGAATACCCCCGTTGAGAGAACTAACAACATCAAGGGGCCCAAGACCTTCCAACACTTTCCCTCTACACACAAGGAGCATAACTGGCCGACCTCTCACAGTGTTCAAGAGAGAAGTTGATAAACACTTTCAAAGGATACTTGATCAACTAGGTTGTGATTCATACGTCAGGCTGTGAGCAGTTGCATCCAACAGCAAGGTTGACCAGACCGCCAACCAGGCGGCCTGGACAGGGACCGGCCCTCGGGAACATTGATTCCTTGGAACCAACACCAGGTACGAAGCATAATGTGAACGATACTGTTGATATGTCCCACCCACCGTCACCGCCGTCCACCCGCTACCACAGCCGTCCACCCACCTCCACTGACGCCCACCCACTACCACCGCCGCCCACTGTAATCCAATCATCGAGAATTGAGATGGTTGTCAACTCTTAGTGTGTGGCCGACTGTCCGGCGCTCATACTAGTCACCACTCCTCTCTCTCTATTTCTTTCCCTGTTTCTCCCTCCATCTCTCTTTCCCTGTTTCTCCTTCCCTCTCTCTCTCTGGCCACTCATATGTTGAAGTTATGCACCTAGGGGAGCCACTGTGTCAGTTTTGAACACACGTACACACTTGTGCACAATGAATATGGTAAATATCTTTGTCTGGAAGATGGAAGGCCATGTATGATTTTTTTTTTGCAGGGATATTTCTGCATGAACCCTAAGCCTCT